GGTAGGAGAGAGGATTTTGTTTTGATTACAATGGCAAATTAGATATTATAGAGAATCTATCTTAACATTTTTGAAGTACATTTTTTATTAAAATTTATTTTGACTTATAATTTTTTATTTTTTAATATTTGCAAAATCAAACCCCTGCCATTTGAATAAATAACAAAACTTAAAAGTAAATTTTGTAATTAAATCATAAGCAAATCGCAAAATTGGATACAAATATTTATTACATCAAAAATTTCCTAAAATCTCTCTCTAATAAACTGAATCTCTATTCAAAATATTTATATCATCATATTTGTTTTAAATTTATATCATTACATGAAATATATTTATAATAAAAATAAAAAAATTCCCACACATTTTGCAATTTAAAATTTTGAAAACAGACATATTTAACTCAATCAATAAAGGAAAAAATATATGTACAACGTCTATATAAGATAGAAATTTAGATAATAGTTCAAAACCATTATAAATAAGACTAATATGTTTACAACTACAAATGAGCATGAACTTTGATTTCTCAAGTATCCAAATTAAAAATTTTATTAGTTTAATCCGGTTCTTTATTTAAGAAAAATAAAAATTTTATAAAGTTTCAGAATATTATAAAATTTAATTTTTTAAACAAGCTGATAATTATGATATTTATTTCAGTTTTATAGAATATTAAAATAATGAATAATATTTAAACTCTACAAAAATTAAAATTATATTAATACTTTAACTCTAAAAATATTTAAAATATAATAATATTGTACATATATGATTGAACGGGTTTAAGTTTACATAAATATGATTATATTTTTCTGCGGGCTGTCTATATTTAGAATCTTTTACGGGTTAAGTTAAAATATAATTTTTTATTTACAACAAAATCGTCTCGCGATGTACCACGGGTTAACAACATATATCTTTGAATCTTCTTATAATGCCAATTCATAAAATTATATTAAGTTAAATGAAATAAACACGTATAAAAATAAACTACATAAAGCAACTACAAAAATGATTAACCAAAGAAATATATTAAATTATGGACCCATGGTGTACCACGGGGTAAATCCTAATAATGAAGGCTATTTGTGCACAATATTTTAACTATATCATGAGCAAAAGAGAAAGTGACTTTCCTTGGTATTACTTTTCAAAAAGTGACTTACAATGCTATTAACTCTTTATTTTATGAACTATTAGCACACAAACATGCCCGGCTCGGATGGGTAGGGCAGAGGGGCGACGGCCCAATGGCCCGTGAAGAAAAAAAACATTTTAAGGGGAAAGAGGGCCCAATTGTTTTATTTTTTTATTTTATTATTTTCAGTGTTAAAGGGTCCAATTTTTTCCCTTATGTATAAAGGCCCGTTTTTAGTATATAATAAAAAACCCATTTGTCAAAAAAAATCATATATATAAAAGTAAGGTTTCACTCTCTCCTTATTGGTGGAAAAATATTTAAGGCTTTAATTTTATTTTTTTAAATAAATAAATAATTTTTTATGACAATAATTCAATACAAAATTTAATTACACTATAATTTATAGTCAAATGACAAAGAAAATGAAAGGACTTAATCATATATCATTCAACAAAATAAATAAAGAAATAAATGTTTATGACAATCATTCAATACAAAATTTAATTACACTATAAGTTATAATCAAATGGCAAAGAAAATGAAAGGACTTAATCATATATCATTCAACAAATTTTATAAGGCTTATTGGTGGAAAATTATTTAAAATCATATATATAAAAGTAAGGTTTCACTCTCTTTATTGTTCCATTTTGTATTTATTTTTTAAAATATAATATTTCTTTTTAGTTAAACCAAAAATACATATTTAATTATATACATTAATTCATAGTTTAAATTCACACTTTACTACTAAAATGAAACTGAATATTATATAAATTTCCAAAGACACACTATAAATTCACACTTTTCTTTATTGAACTCCAATTAAACACACTATAAATTATAATTATAACTCCTCTAATTTAATTATTTTAAAAATGTAACTTACATCACTTCTTATCATATAAATAGCCATTCTCACATCCTTCTCTACCATATCTCATATCTTCATTATTCTCTTTGTTTTTTTTTTTTACTTGCATGGGGTGAAAACTTATTTAAAATATCATTGTAAGAGTTTGATTAATTATTTAGTTTAAACTTTTGTTTTCAATTTTATTTATTTTTGTTTTTATGTATTTCTTTATGTATTCATTGTTTTTTATATTTTTAAATGTAATACATATGTATAATAATATTTTATGGTTATAAGAAAATCAAGCTAAAGAACCATCTTCATTATTTTACATTGGATGTTTGTTTCTTTCACACATATTCATGTATATTTATTTTAATTTCAAAAGTATGTAATTTTTTAACAAAATAAACTTTTTGTTATATAATTATTAAACCAAATTGTAAGACATTCTTTTAAGAATAATGATCCTTATATATAGTTTGTGATTCAACATGTAATAATATAAACAACATTATAATTTTTGTTAACTTTGAATTTTATACTTGATTTCCTATATAAAAAACAATTGGATATTCAATTTTCTATATATTATATATACTACAACGATGAAAAATATAATTAAACTTAGAG